GCCTACGGGCGATCGAAAGTCACTGGTCATATGCTATAGTCATCACCAGAGATGAGTGGAATTGGGAATGTTTGCTATGCCAAAAATTGGAAAATTTTGCCAAAATTTCATAATTTTGGGTGAAAATCGATGGGTTTTAGGGGGCAATGGGTTTTAAGTGGCTCCGGGAAGGGTATGGAAGTTCCTTTCAAGTAGAGGGAATGTCTGTTATGCTGAAAATTTTGGCAAAATGTAGTAATTTTTGATGAAAGGCGTTGGGTTTGGCTGCAAAGGCTAAATTAAGGTGGGTTTTAGGGGGCTCCTGAAGGGTATGGAAGCTCCTTTCAAGTATCATTGACCTGTTCTACTGCCAACCAAGCGGAGCCTTACTAGTTGGGAACACGACATTATATACTGAGGAACCCAAACACCAGAACCTCAATCCAAGCAGTAGCTGTCGAGCTAATCTTAATGCCAACCTTAACTCTAACCCTTCGTTTATGAACAAAGCCATGAGATAACCACAAAATTACGGTAGCTGGGGGCCTTGGTAGTTTTATTTTAGGGTAACATCAATAAAGAGACATATAAGCCAGAAAAAGTAATCAGAGACGATGTGCGAGCCAACGGACACAAATTCCTTGAAGTGATGCAAGCGAGAGGCGGGCGTTGATACAGTTGCAGAATTGAGGGCAGATTATCCCAGTGACACGGAAAAACAAAGTTCACACATCCCCTCCGTACGTTGCAAACGATCCCCCCACCCCAGGGCTTGAGGGAAGGGACTTGTTATGAGCTGACCGTTGGGTGCCCCTCCCTGGTTGAGAAAAGGACCTTTGTTTGCCGGGGAAGACAATGGCCGCTCATCCTAGGAGAATAGCAGCATCGCTTGTCTCTCGTGACAGGTTTACATGCGGTTATTTGACCCCCAAGCCTTCATTTCACACAAGCCGAGTCCTAGACAACGCTCGCTGGCTGTTTTGAGCCTCGGTGTAGGGGCTGCAAGACAACCAATCCTCAGCATTCAAGTTGTATGGAATTTGCGGGGTAGTTTGGCTACACCAATTGTTTTGTAAGTGGCCTCTATGTACGAAGATAGATCGTGTTTGTGGTGTCTGGCCATCCACGAAAAGTCAACACAACTGAATGCCGCTGAAAATTCTGTAAAAGATTAAATACGGATTTCAACAGGCTTTGAAAATTTTGCCAAAATTTGTTGTCATCCGCATTCTAAAACTGACCATACACAAAGAAGGCCTTACACTATAGCTAAAGTCAAAAATGTTTCTTTTTAAGCTTGAGCTGGGCCCCGTGGGGATGAATTTCTCTTTACTTCCTGTCCATGGAGACAAAGCAGGAAGCGAGAGGAAATCCCCATGTAGACAGTTGTCCCCTATGGAAAGCTTTCCTTCTTTTCTTGTTCTAGAGGCAACTGTAAAATTTAGGAATTCCCATCACAGGACAGCCGTTCTAACCCTAAAAGTTTAAGATTCGGATACGCATTAAAAGTTTGGCTATTACCCTCAATGGAAAACAAATTAGCAACCGGGATCTGATGGACTGCTACACACAAACACAGACGGTACAGCTTGAGGTGGCATGTTGGACCTCCTCTCGTCTTTCCCTCAATCTCCTTAGGGCCTCCTTCTTCTTCGGCCCATCTTCCCCTGTAGAGTCTAAGCCCCTCTCTCGCCTTCTCCATCTGCCATTAAGCGTGATTAATCCAGTCTGACACCCCTAACCCCATGGCCAGGCCCCACCGTGAATGCCTACGACTTAACGCTTAAACTGCTTGCCAATCAAGCCAAGCATTGTAGGGGCAGAGAAGAAACGTATACACTGAGCAACGTTCAAGGGGCCACTAAATAGAAATAATAAAAAAAGAATTGGGTTTATGCTTTTGTATAATGAAACAGATAAAAAACATATAAACCGGATGTTTCGGGAGTTTTTGGTAAAGAGTTAAACCACCTGACAGTTGCTTGTACACTATATGGCCAAAAGGTGGTCACCTATGACCAGTGGCGTCACAAGGGGGGTGCCACCATTGGGAGGGGTGACACCAAAATAACTGACAGTCATTTTGGTGTCACCATTTAAGAAATGTCGGGCACTCGGTCGAGGACCGAGAGCCCGACAGTGTCAGGAGAGTGGAGGGGACCCGGCGGCATACCTTATCCCGCAGGGTGAATGTCCCCTCCTCTCTCTGCCGGCGTCCATCACCAAGATGTCCGCCGGCAGGCATCAAAAAGACCACAGCGCGTGCGGGACACCCAGCCTCGGGACGCCACTGCCTAGGATCACCAAAGGTGGTCACCTAATGACACCTAGCCATCTTTAGGAGCTTGTTGGACATCCCTTTCCAAGACCATGGACATTAATATGGAGTTGGCCCCTTTGTAGATAAAAACAGCCTCCACTCTTCTGTGAATGCTTTCCAGAAGATTTTGAAGCGTGTCTGTGGGAATTTGTGTCCCTTCAGTCAAAAGTGCATATGTGAGGTCTGGTAGTGATGCTAAATGAGAAGACCTGGCTCACAATTGGCATTTTAATTCATCCCAAAGGTGTTCACCAGAGTTGAGGTCCGGGCTCTGTGCAGGACACTTGAGTTCCTTCACACCAAACTGCTCACACCATGTCTTTATGGAGTACAGCTATATATGGGGAACACTAGAAATTACCAGGTAGGGTCAACCAGGTAGGGTCTTTAAGGAGCTGGCTTTGTACAGAGGGGACAGTCATGATGGAACAGAAAAGGGTCTTCACCAAACTGGTCACACCATGTCTTTATGGAGCTGGCTTTGTACACGGGACAGTCATGGTGGGACAGTCATGGTGGAACAGAAAAGGGCCTTTACCAAACTGGTCACACCATGTCCTTATAGAGCTGGCTTTGTACACAGGGGACAGTCATGATGGAACAGAAAAGGGTCTTCACCAAATTGGTCACACCATGTCTTTATGGAGCTGGCTTTTTACACGGGACAGTCATGGTGGAACAGAAAAGGGTCTTCACCAAAATGTTACCACGAGGCTGGAAGAGCGCAATGGTCTACAAAGTCTTTGTATGATTAACACTCTTCACTGGGAGCCCCTGAACTCATTTGGAGGAATGCACAACAGACCTTTGGCCTTAAAGTAGATGTGATGGTCAGGTGTCCATCCTGAACCTCCCCCCCGTGTCCTCCTGGAAATCTAATGTATACACAACTCGTCCCTCCACTCTAAATGAGATCTTACTGTCCCTCTGCCATTTAAAATGATCATTGGGAACACCTGAACTCAATCATTTAGAGGGATCCACACACGTTGGCCATATAGGTACGTGTGCTGGTCAGGTGTCCACATAATTCTCTCCGGCACTCTACTGGTAAGATCTTGAGTTTTACAGACTCAGAAACAGAATGCAGATCTGCACATACACAGGGAGGTCATTCCTTGAGATCTCCATCGCTTTGCTCTCTAGAAACAACTCAGCTCCTATTTATACTAAAGACGGCAGCACAGGGAAATAAGAATTTCAGAGGCTGAGATTACTCACGGACGTGAGATGATTAGAACTCAGAGTCTCGGTGGATTACTCTGCAGGGGGTACGAGTCGGTGGCTTGGTTAGAAAACCTCACCCGATAACCATCAACCCCACCACCACCACCACCATCCCCAGATTAGCTGAAGATGCCATCTCATTGCTTCTTACTCATGCACCAGTCCACTCTACATGGAGAAATACCAGCAATGGATTGGAAGATCGATGGACGGGAAGACATCTTCGGACCTGACTGACGTTACACGACTTGACCGATATTGAACACTCACTACTCCCCGGAGAGATCGGTTGGTTCGCACAGAGATTGGCCGTCGGCCACAAATGCCACCATATGCATCATATATATCATTTGATATTTTGTCCATAGTTCCCCTTTAAAAATTGCGTACAAGAAAACATTTGGACGCATTTCCTTACACTTAAGGGTCATAACCAAGCGGCGAAATGGACCGACGTGCCACAAGGCGAAAAGCGATCTTTAAGGAACCAGCCGCCAGCAGCAAGAAGCCCGCAGTGGGGGCAGATTGAATTTGGATAAAACAATCAACAACAAAAAAAAAAGCTTTTAAGCTGTTTACAGGTAGCAGCACGCCCTCCGTCTGTCATTAGCGCTCGGTGACCCGTCGCAAAGCTTAGGGCAGGGTCCCTCATGTGTATGTAATAAAGTCACTGAAGCGTCCACTTCCTCATTCCAAAACTGAACTCCCCCTCCCCCACTGTCCTTACCACAGGTAACTAACAAGAGCCCTGTGTCTGTCCCTGTAATCCTACCACCCCCCGGGGCTCTGGTGACAGATAGGCATCTTTCTGGAGCGGCCCAAGATCACTCGCCGTTCTCCAGATGACAGCTGTTGCTATGGATGTAAGGCGCGACACGCACCACGGGAATTACAAAAGGGCGCGTCACGATTAGGCGAACGCGAGAATCTGAACTTTTTAGGCTTTCAGGATCATAACCGTGAGGCATGCCTATGACAGATTTATTTCTCTACTTGTTTAGCTTGACTTAGTCCAAAACATAGAGGAACGAATTGTTTGTGACGTGTCAACTGCTAGACCGGTGGTAACACACACTGCCTCCGAGCTCCTGAGTATGCATAGCAACCCTGGAGAGATTGTTGACCACTGCGCCATGCCAGCTTGAACCCTTTCTGGTAGAGTTTTAAGCCAACCCAACCATGGCCACCAGCGCCATTAATAAAGGTCAATAGGACCATGCAGGGTACAAGAGGGTGAGGACCAGCTGTGGACACTACTGGATGGGTTTAGAGATGGAAATGAGGGCTTAAGTGTTGACTTTTGGCAAAGTCTAAATTAGCATATCAGGAACGCCACTGTTTAGTCTGCACGTTTCGGGGAATGGAGCCCAGCACTTGGACCGGCCAATGGAGCAGATCATGAAGCTGCCGCTATGTTTACAGGTGGACTTTATGGAACCTCATGTGTAGTTACAGCAGATCACCAAGTGCTCACCGAGATACTGAGGGTCCACGCGTGGGGAGTAGAGGCCGAATTTGATAAAGATGGGGAGGACGTAGCCGAATCGCACCCACTCGATGACGTAGAGAGGAGGGCGCCCCGCGTCCTGGTGGAGGAGGCTGCACCCCAGGACCGCGCTCTCTCCTATGCGGCCAACCACAGTCTGAGCGTCTGATCGGATGGTACCTGCGGAGACACGGCAAGGGTGAGGGGCCCACAACATACCAAAAACACAGAACTAACGTACAATGGAATTTATTTATATTTCTGGACAATAATCCCAACACCAGCCATGGGATGATCGAGGCCCAGCGTGCAATAACACAGCGCCCGCACGTAGGAACGTGCCACAGGAAGGGTGATGAGGGAAAAGGGAGTAAGGGGAGGGAAAAGGGAGTAAGGGGAGGGAAAAGAGAAGGAGAAGGAGAGGTTAATTAAAGCATGGAAAGAAAAAGGGCAACAGGAGGAGGAGATAAACTGGAGTAAAATGGAAGTGTGGAGAGGTCAAGGGAAGTAGGGAGGAGAAATAAAAAGGACATAAAGGAAAGAGAAACTTAAGCAGAGGATTAGGTAAGCTGAGGATGGGTTATTGAAGCGGGGTGTCAAGAAGCAAGGAAAGAGAAAAGGGCACTAGGAGGAGGTAAAAGGAAGGAAGGCAGGGCAAAGGGTAGAGAGTCTTGGTAAGGGGAGGGAAGGTGTGGTGAGGATAAGGGAGGAGTGGTGAGGATAAGGGAGGAGTGGTGAGGATAAGGTGGTGTGGTGAGGATAAGGTGGTGTGGTGAGGATAAGGTGGTGTGCTGAGAGGAAAGGAGGCATAGAGAGGAGAAGAGAGGTGTAGAGAGGGGAAGATAAATGTGGTGAGGGGAAGGGAGGTGTGGTGGGGATAAGGGTGCATGGTTGGGATAAGGGAGAAGTGCTGAAACTAATGTGGGCATGGTGAGGGTAAGGGGGAGTGGTCAGAGGAGAGGCAAGGTATAGGGAAGAGAGGGGTGGTATAGGGAAGTGAGGTGTGGAGAGCAAAAGGAGCTAAGGGGGCATGGTGAGGATAAGGGGGTATAGTGAGAATATGGGACACATGGTGAGAGGAAGGGAGGCATGGCAAAAGGAAGGGAGAGAGGAAGGGTGGCATGGCGAGAGGGAGGGGAGGCAGGCATGGCAAAAGGAAGGGAGAGAGGAAGGGTGGCATGGCGAGAGGAAGGGAAGAATGGCAAGAGAAAGGGTGACATTGAGAGGGGAAGATAAATGTGGTGGGGGGGAAGGAAGTCATGGTGAGGATAAGCATGCATGCCTAGGATAAGGTAGAAGTAGTGAGGCTAAGGGTGCATGGTTAGTGGAAGGGGGACGTGGTGGAAGGAAGGTGTGTTGTGAGGAAGGGAAGAGCAGAGATAGGAAGGGAGATGTAGTTAGAGGAAGGGAGTCGGGGGAAAGAGAAGTGATGAAAGTATCACAAAGTAAGAGAGAATAGCAAGCAAAGGGGAAGGAATGAAAAGAAATGATAAATAACAACAAAAATGCACTGACATAGAAAAGGAAAAAAATAAAACAATTCAAAGAAAAGAGAAGGAAAAAAAGAAGTCAAAGAATAAACTAAAGATGGAAAGAAACAATTGCAGAAGAAAAGTCTATGACTAGGAATGAGCTGGGTGACTCGTCAGTAATTCAGAATAAATCATATAAGACCCGCGCTCCTCCTCGCCTGCCTCTCATAAGCTGGTTATAAAGGTAGAGAGGTGCGACAGGTGAGCTCAGGACAGAATCAGCGTCCAAAGTCCCAGACACCACCCCGACCCCTCCTGTCCTCCAACCTCCGCTCACACACCAAAGAGTCCCTTCACCTTTGAGAACTTCTTCAGGAACAAATGCAAGACCACATAAATCCCACCAACATCACCATTTACACTTTCTTTAGCTTCTTCTGTATCTGTCCCACGGGCCCACTTTGCCCTTTTCTGCCCGCAAATAATATTCTCCATCAACTGGGATTCTGTTGCTCTTTTAAATACCTCGTAATGGCATTCCCACCCAGATTTATCCTCATGGCTCATGGCCTACAAAACATAGGACCGCATGTATCTTTCCTCTCACGACTCCTCCCCCTCACGTGTCTAGATCTGCACAGTTTGCTCCTGTCCCAAAGCTTGCTCCTACCTGTCCCACGGGCCAGATATTGAACTCCAAGTGTTATCAAAGGCTGACATCTGTCTTCTATATCCTTCTTCTGTTTGTTTTGGTCACTAGCCATGGCATGCAACGCAGGAGCATCCAACAGTTCTTAACTTGCTCATGATGCTCAAAGCTAGGAACTATTTGGAGGCCTTCAGTGAAGTCACATCCACAGAAGTAAGCTGGACATGTGCCGTCACTTAGGATCATTGGAATGTTACGGGGATATGATCTCTACCATAAATTACATAAAGCCACAGCATGCATAACCGTCCCTTACCTTGAACGCAGCAGAACAGCAGGCAAAGGTAGACTGTCCAAGACGCCCAACGCATAGCACAAACCCGGCAGTCGAGCATAAGACGCCAGTGGGGTTAATGTCACTTGTCCTTGCAAGCAGCATCGGGAGAGACCCTCCGCAGACCTCCAGCCTGTCTGGACACCGTAGAGCGTGTTAAACCGTCACTCGGGCCCTCTCGCCCGGATTGTGGGGGTTAGAAGAAGACTCTGTTGAATGGGAGCAGATGCCCCCCCTTAGGCGTTAACTGAACTTCCCGCGGCAAAGGAACATCTAGCAGCCTGCGGAGGAAGGGCAGCCCCCTCTGTCGATCCAATCGCCTCGTCTCCCCTCAGCTTGCCATCGCCGTCAAGACCTGTTCGGAGAGAACACGGAGGGTTAGACATTGTCAGTGAAGATAGAAAGAGAGAGAGAGAGGAGTGCGTTCCCTCAAAGCTCAGAGTCAATATTTGCTCAGTCCACACCTACCCACGTACTGTCCACTTGTTCTACTCTCTGTACAGGGGGCAAAGCAAACACATTCCTGAGCCACCGTCGTAGGAAGACGAGGCAACAAATGACAGCGCCGGGCTGGGCCGGTGTCCCCCTGAATTAGCGCCTGCCAATATCTTACCACCACTCCCAGGGACCCCGTACCGTATTTGAAGGGAAACTCAACGCATAATCTCCGAGCACACCGAATTCTTAATATGAAATGTAGCGGATTTAGTCATTTTTGATGCGATATTCACTTCTTTTTTTTGGGCTGTTCCGTGGAAGAAAGTCCAGCAAGATTTTCCCTCATTTCCTGTCCTGGTGTCAACTGTAAAATATTGGACTTCCCATCACTTTTAGACCAGTGACAGCGGTCACCTGGACGCAAAACGTCGCTAGTTCGGTGTCCATCAACCTCCCCTCACACACCAAAGAGTCCCTTCACCTTTGAGAACATCTTCAGGAACAAATGCAACGTGAAGACCACATAAATCCCACCAACATCACCATTTACACTTTCTTTAGCTTCTTCTGTATCTGTCCCACGGGCCCACTTTGCCCTTTTCTGCCCGCAAATAATATTCTCCATCAACTGGGATTCTGTTGCTCTTTTAAATACCTCGTAATGGCATTCCCACCCAGATTTATTCCTCACGGCCTACAAAACATAGGACTGCATGTATCTTTCCTCTCACGGCTCCTCCCACTCACGTGTCTAGATCTGCACAGGTTGCTCCTTTTTTTGGCTGTTCCGTGGAAGAATGTCCAGCAAGATTTTTCCTAATTTCCTGTCCTGGTGTCAACTGTAAAATATTGGACTTCCCATCACTTTTAGACCAGTGACAATGGTCACCTGGACGCAAAACGTCGCTACTGGAGACTCAGACAGCAACAAGAACCTCAAAATTTGATGGGGTTGAGGAGCCGAGTTGGGTCATTGTTCTGGGCTGAGTTGGTCATTATACATCAACATCATATGATGTTTGGGTTCTGGGCTGAGTTGGTCATTACACATCAGCATCATATGATGTTTGGTTTCTGGGCTGAGTTGGTCATTACACATCAACATCATATGATGTTTGGGTTCTGGGCTGAGTTGGTCATTGCTATAGGGTCCCCCAGGCAGATACTATAGTACAGGAGCCTCTGTGAGGTTCTTGTAGCAACGTGGTAGAAGAAAGAGGAAGAGAGCTCCCCTCCAAAGATGTTTGTCCAGATAAGTTTTCATGGGACTAAGGATTGGAAGTAGACTTTGGAAAGCAGCCACCATTCCTTCCTGAGCCACTGCTAATCATCCAGAACCAGGTCTTTTTTTAGTTCCAACGCCCTGATGAACGGTTGGCTTCTTTAACTAAATATAACTTATCTGGTCCATCAAATTTGCACTGGGGCTCTCCTCATTATCCTTTTATCACAACAATAAAACGTCAACATTTGGCGGGGCTGAGGAGCCCCGATCCCTTTGTGATGGTTGGGTCTTGGCCAATGTGGGGTGGGCATTGCTATTATGTGAAGGGTCTATAGTACAGGAGCCTCTGTGAGGTTCTTGTAGCAACGTGGTAGAAGAAAGAGGAAGAGAGCTCCCCTCCAAAGATGTTTGTCCAGATAAGTTTTCATGGGACTAAGGATTGGAAGTAGACTTTATACACGACGTAGACAGAAAACAATTAATATTTTTAGAAAATCTACCAAAAAAAAAACTTTTACTGGTAACTCCAAGCTTCTGATTGCCAGGTACACGTGACAACTAAGCAGGTCTGAACCAGGAAAAAACATCTTCTTAACTCCCATAATATCATCAAAGCGTACCACGTTTTACTCTATTAAAGCCTTCCTTCCAATCACTTGCAATGTAAAAAGAAATATCGCCAACCTCTCTATGTCCTACTGAGCATCTGGTGTAGGGTACTGATGGCCGTAATCTCAATGAGATCTCACCTTCCGTATTCCATAGTGCTGCAGGCCATGAATTCTATTGACCTCCTGTTTTAGACTTCACAACAATAGATGCAGTTGTACAACAGAAGGTTAATGGAATTCATGGCCTGTAGCACTATGGAGTAAAGGTGAGGTCTCATTGAGTTTACGGCCATCAGTACCTTACACCAGATGCTCAATCGGACAGAGAGGTAGTGAAATTACTCATATATGCATTACAAGTGATATGAAACCCAACCCCCATCCTGGAAGACCTGGATATCCTCTTTTGTCTGGGTCATTGCCTGGAGACCTCAAAATGAACTATGCTAGCATCAGTATTGCTCTGTGGTTCAATTGGCCATGCAGGCTACATGGTGGAACAGAAAGGGGGCCCTTCACCAAACTGGTCACACCATGACTTTATGGAGCTCGCTTTGTACACAGGGGACAGTCATGGTGGAACAGAAAGGGCCTTCACCAAACTGGTCAAACCATGTCTTTATGGAGCTGGCTTTGTACACAGGGGACAGTCATGGTGGAACAGAAAGGGCCTTCACCAAACTGGTCAAACCATGTCTTTATGGAGCTGGCTTTGTACACAGGGGACAGTCATGGTGGGACAGAAAGGGTCTTCACCAAACTGGTCAAACCATGTCTTTATGGAGCTGGCTTTGTACACAGGGGACAGTCATGGTGGAACAGAAAGGGCCTTCACCAAACTGGTCAAACCATGTCTTTATGGAGCTGGCTTTGTACACCGGGGACAGTCATGGTGGAACAGAAAGGGTCTTCACCAAACTGGTCACACCATGCCTTTATGGAGCTGGCTTTGTACACCGGGGACAGTCATGGTGGAACAGAAAGGGTCTTCACCAAACTGGTCGCACCATGTCTTTTTGGAGCTGGCTTTGTACCCAAGGGACAGTCATGGTGGAATAGAAAGGGTCTTCACCAAACTGGTCACACCATGTCTTTATGGAGCTGGCTTTGTACACAGGGGACAGTCATGGTCGAACAGAAAGGGTCTTCACCAAACTGGTCACACCATGTCTCTATGGAGCTGGCTTTGTACACCGAAGCAGTCATGGTGGAACAGAAAAGGGCCTTCACCAAACTGTTACCACAAGGTTGGAAGAGCACAATTGTCTACAATGTCTTTGCATGCTGCAGCATTAACATGACCCTTCACTGGGAGCCCCTTAACTCATTTGGAGGAATGCACAGACCTTTGGCCTTAAAGTAGATGTGATGGTCAGGTGTCCTGAACACCCCCGTGTCCTCCTGGGAATCTAGTGTATACACAACTAGTCCCTCCACTGTAAATGAGATCTTACTGTCCCCCTGCCATGTAAAGGTAAAATAAATGAATCCCACATTCCTACAAGGAGTCCTTTGAGAAAACCCAGAACACCACATCTTTGTTCCTTCGCTCAACGCAAGAATCCAAACCTTGTTTTATAAGCAACCAGAAGAACGGCACGAAACAGGAATGTTTCAACACGGAATTTTGACATCATCTGGACTATACTTTTCCATTCAACCATATTCTGGGCCCTGCCTAAAAGTCACATCTTGTTCTGTGCCACCACTCTCAAAATTCAGACTCTCAACATTCCGAGGGGGGGGTTCCAACAAAAAAATATTCCACTTTTCAGCTCCCAAACAAAGCCCTCAGATCAGCACTTCACCCTTGAGTCCTTTACGAGGGTCATCATACCCTCATAAAAAAAGGATCTTCATTTCATTTTAAAATACCAGAATTTGCGTTTGGGAACCGAGAACATTTAAAAAAAAAGTTAATTTTTCTTGGAAATGGGTGTGGAAAAAATTGGGGTACTTTTCAACTCTTGCCATGTTAGAAGGGCTTTTATTACGGCCGACGATAATTCAAACAGT